AAGGACTCCAATAGCCCCACACCAGACTGTACCCGCTGGGGGTCTGACCCCAAGGACTCCAATAGCCCCACACCAGACTGTACCCGCTGGGGGTCTGACCCCAAGGACTCCAATAGCCCCACACCAGACTGTACCCGCTGGGGGTCTGACCCCAAGGACTCCAATAGCCCCACACCAGACTGTACTTGCTGGGGATCCCCCCACTGACTTCAGGGGGACTCCAGCTGATCTACACTCCCTGGGGACCTGCCCGGAACTTTCCATGGGACAAGATGGACGTGAGCAGTTGGGCCAGTCAGGGCCAGGGCACGATGGCTCCCCACAGCCACACTCATCTCAGCGCTGACAGATGGGGGAGGGGAGAGTTTTTATTTTAACTTTTATCTCAGCCCTGACAAGTGCTTCCTCCTGCTCACAGCCCGGCTGGTGGCTGGGTCCTGGCTCCTCTTATCTCTGTTTGCCTGGGCGTTAAATGATTGTAGCTGCCATCAGCACAGATCTGCATGTTCAGTGTTGACACCTGGTCCCCTCCCCGCACTGGTCTATAAATGCCCCGTGTCCGGCCAGTGTCCCATGCAGGCTGCACTTGGACTGGCCTAGCACCGGAGCAGCTACCCAGCGAGACAATCAGGTGAGACGCTGGCTTCCTCCAGCTTCTTCCTCCTCCTGCGCTGGGTGGCCAAGCTTGTCCCGTGTGTGTCCCCTGACCCTGGGGCCGTCTCTGTCTCACCCCTTCCTCCCACCCCGCACAGCCCTACACGCGGCACCCTAATGCCCTGCGGAGCTGTGCCCAGCGCTCTGCCCCTCCGGGAGCTGGGCCCAGCCTCCAGTCTGCGTCCAGTCCCTGCTGGATCATCACAGTGCAGGGCGGCTCTCCCATTCGACCCCATTTCTTAATAATGGTGCAACGGGGTCCCAGCCCCCACCATGGGATGCAGTAACTATAATCCCTCCCCTCCCCCCCACCCGAACCACACAATTTTGGCTTTCCAGACACACAATCTCCCTGGAGGTGGAAATATGAGTGTGATTGAAACACCTGTTAGCGGGGAAAGGCCCCGGCGTGGGGTCAGTGGGTGTTTCATGTACCAGGTGCTGGGTGATAACACGAGAGGTCTCCAAGTTTCTAACACTAAACTGGTCTCTAGTCAGAGAACGATTGCAGAAGTGCTGCACCTGCAGCTGGCATTCCAGCCACGTGCACACAGACTGGCCTCCATCCTGGTGGCACTGGGGCCTCTTCCAAACTCTTCCTTCCTGTCACCTGTTCCCTCCCTCCACGTTCCATGTAGGTGGCTACAGTGGATACCTGCCAGCCCCAGCACTGGGGGAGAGAGGAACAGCAGGAGATGGCAAATGCTCCTTCTGAGAACTGCTTTGCTCTGCAAATGGGATTCTGTTGCCTGGGACCCAGGTCCCATCTGAGTGACCAGGGCCTCCCTGCTGACCCCCGGCTCTTCCCCACCTGCAGCCCTGGTTTGGGGAGTCCCTGGAGATGTGGCTTGCAGAGCCCAGCCACTGAGGAGCTGGGACCTGGCTCCCTGCTGGGTGTCCAGTTCTGTCCCTGGGGCACGGCTCAGTGAGGGGTGGAAAAGGAAGGGCCCTTCAGACCCAGGGAGATGGGCTCCGAGCTCAGTTCCCCAGGGCAGGGGGAAGGGATCACTATCGGGGCCCTTCCAGCCCAGCCAGGCCCTTTAGCAAACAGTTCCGGAGGGTGTCTCAGGCTCTCATGGCCCCATCTCCCTTGTGTGTTTTCTCCCCAGGTGAAGCAAGAAGATGGGGCTAGTCACTTACTTCAGCCTCTGCCTCCTCGGCTGCCTGACCTATAACCCCTCGCTGGCAGGTGAGTCCCTGGCCGGGCCTCAGAGCTGGAATCCCCGGGTGCTGGTTGCCATGGTGGAAATTGGGAAGTGAATTCATTTCCCTCATCACTTCCAGAGCCTCTGCCCATCTTGTGCTGCTGGGGGTCACTGCCCTGTGGGAGACCAACCCTGCGGCCCCTCCTGAAGGAGTGGGTGAGAGAAGGTGGATGAAATGCCCCCCATAGGTCAGCTCTTCCCATGAGGATTGAGTGGGACCAGTCCCTGGGAAACGGGCGCTCAGCCCCCGTCAGCTACAGGCTCTCATCCCATCCTCCCATGTTCCCCTCCCACTGGCTGGGCGTGTCCCCACAGGGTCCCTCTCCAAGGGCTGGTTTTGGCTGCCCTCCAACCCCAGCTTCTCCCCAATCCGGCCTCTGATGCCGGCTGGGCTTCCCCATTCCCTGCACACTGTGCCTTTCTCCTCCAGACTGTCCCATTACCTCCCCCTGCTGGGATACTGCTCCACCCCGTCCCTCTGTGCCCCCAGCCCTGAGAAGGGCAGTGCCTGCACAGTGTTCCCCTCCCCTCCGCCCCAACCCCACAGATCCCTGCTATTCCCCCTCTTTGTCCCATCTCCCTGGGCACCTCTCTCCCTGCCCTCCTCCTTCAACCTCCCCAGCTCCTACCATCCAGAACTGGGCCCCTGCTCCCGATTTCCTCTCTAGTCCCAGTCCGTGCCAACCCCATTGCTCCCCCAGCTTCACCTCTTGGCCCTGGGTTTTACCTTCACACGCCTTCCCCTCCCTTTCAGCTTCCTGGTCCCACTGTCCCGCATGGCCCAAGGAGAGACGGGGAGACGCTCAGGGTGGCAGGAATTCCCTCTGCCCGAGGGCTTCAGCTGAATGGAGGCCACTGTAGCTCGCAGCTCCATAATTCCCCACTTCTCTGGGGAAGGGGCAGGGAGGGTCTATCAGCCCCCCCCCCCCCACTGTGCACTGGCTCCTTCCTCCCCTCAGGGAGCCCTGGCAAAAGGAGCCCCTGCCCCATTCAAACCCAGAGTCCCTGCCCTGCTGGGATCCCTGCTCAGGGCTGGGTTTCAGGGGCCCTGTTCTGCCGATGTGGGGTCTGAGCAAACCCAGCTTCTTCCTACATTGCCAGGGCCTGGAGGGTCCTGCCAGCCAGACACAGCCCCAAACGGGACCCGATGTTTTTCATACTAATGGGAAAGCCACGGTTCTGCCTCTGAAACAGCCTCTAACCTCGGTGTCCTGTCCCCACCATTGCCCCCAGCCCCCTCTCTCTCTGTAGAGGCACAGGCTATGTCGTGTCCCACAGGCTGGTTCTCCTACCATGACAGCTGCTATCGATTCTTCCACACAAAAAAAAACTGGATGGAGGCTGAGGTGAGAGGCTGGGGGCAGGGGGGCTCAGGGGTGCTGGGCTGGAGCTGGAGGCTGGGGGGATGGGGAGGTTTAGGGCGAATATCAGAGTCAGTGAGCTGGGCTAGGCTGGGAATCTGCTACGGTGGGAGGGGCGGGGATAGGGTTGCCAACTTTCTAAGGACACACCCCAGCCACTCCCTTCTTCGAGACCTCGCCCTGACTCACTCCATCCCCCCTTCCTCTGTCACTCTCCCTCACCCTCACTCACTTTCACCCATCTGGGGCAAGGCGTAGGAGTGCGGGGGGTGCGGTGATGACTCTGTCTGGGGATGCGAGCTCTGGGGTGGGCTCAGGGATGACGGATTTGGGGTGTGGAGAGGGCTCCGTGATGGGGC